TTTTAAATAATATTTATTGTATTATAGTATGTATACGCTACACACACAAAACATACGTGTCGCTTTAATTGTACTAATAAACCGAAAAATACAAATGTACATATACATGCTTGCATGTGCTGGTAGCTATTCCAAAACACAGTCATTAGGAAACATTTGTCGTTATTTAATTATTGTTCTACTTGCATATCCGTTAAAAATATAGTATAACAATAATTTATTGTACGTCAGTCGATGTAGATTGTAATAATATTATGTCCAAAAAAGAACGATACTACTCAAGAGTCTTTTGGAGTAGGATTTAAGTTGAAAAGTTAAATTCAAACGTTTAACATAGGTTTAAGATTTGTTGGAGATCAAAAGGAGCTTTGAATTTTAAAAACCTTAAAACTTCTAATAGTACTACATTTATTTTATTTCAACACATCTCTCAGTAAAAAATAAATGTAGGTATTTTGAAAAACACTAATTTTAAGTTCTGAGGTTTTTAGTAGAGGGTGCCCTGATCTCCGCCAGTGGGTTTAAGTTATTTATACATTTTTCAAGTCCGGTGTAAGTAACATAAAATGTACACACTTTTATAATATAAATATTATTATATTATGAAAAAATATATATTTTTACGCTTTATTACAATTAACGGATAGGTAAACATATTGTCATCGTATCTTTTTTAAGTTGTATGAAGTTGTAGAATTATGATTTATGCATTATGTAGTATTCAACAAAATGAGAATAATAATACCTAAAAGTACATTTCGCGGTCCAATAGTTTTTTGTCTCTCGTTGCACTCGCTTTCAATGTTATCGTTCGTTAATTTTCCATTGATACATTTTAATAATTGTTTTTACGAAATATTATTGTTCATGTTCAGAGGTCTATTGTAAATATTAAAATACAGTATCCTTGAATCGATTAACAAAAACTAAACAATACTATCTAAAAAAAAAAACGATATTTTACCGTTGTATAAGTACAAATAGCATTTTTTTTGAAAAAAAAAACAACTCTAGTCGTTGTATTCGAATTGTATTCAATGATACAATTTAATAACATATTATCTACTCAAGGGTGAGAGACATAAATCATTTTGACTTGCCGCATGTGTGTAACGATTCCAACGTTGTATTTACGTCACCAGGTTTACACAGTACAGTTTGTGTTGACTACCCCTTAAACGTTTTATCACAGTTCATTTCCTTCCATACCGAATAATTTATATCGGTATTACTGAACAAGAACAGACGTGAACGATATTTTCAACTAAAACTATCTACAATCAATAATATTAGACGGGTACTTTGTAATAGGTCTACCTAAAATATACCTCTAACAGACTTATTTGAATGTATAGTGAGTTTATAGTTACTATTTGCATCATAGGTTAGTGATAGATCTACACATAATTATTGTGAAAACCAGAACAGAATGTCTAGATTATTGATGACATTTATCGAATATAGAATTTAAGAGTATAATATTTAAAACAAATGATTTACCAAATTATGTACCTGGCTCACTAAATTTTTTTATAAAATGGTTAAGCCATATAATTATTGTTAAATAATTATTAAAACACAATCAATATTTGGTTTCAACATCCTACCAAGGCCAAAGTAGGCAAATAAAAATCAGCGGCCATGTATCCTTAAATACATTTATTATATTGATTTCGATAATAAATGTTTTGTCGTTTGCAACAACATGTATAATGTTTCATACACAAATTCCAACAGTTTTCAAGTACAGAAATTAATAGCGTTGTCGTTAAACTCATTTGCGGATAACGAACATTATATTTTTAATGCAAATCGGTTTTAAATTATCCGTTTAATTTTGGTGTAATATAAATTATAGCGTTTCAAATCCATTTTATGGTTTTATCGTTCGCCAAGTTTTTTGATGTCGCGTGAACTTTGATTATAATAATACACTCTTGCACATTATTGAGAAATTCCTAACGATTTGAAATTATTATTTTCGTCATGCGACCAAGGTTACATATTAATACACAGCGAGTGCTGCTGATTGCACTGTACTTATTAACTCAAATAAAATATTTATTTGATTTTTGTAAACATTAACTGTAATTTGAATTTTCTCGAAAGATGTGACTGCCTATCCGAGGTTTTTGCCAAAACTACTATATTATAAAATAGATAAATAATTATTTATTAAAAAAATTAAAGGCAATAATAATTCAAGCGTACGTTTGAAATGGGAGACATTTAAATTTTGAAAGTTAATAATATGTGTACTTATGCAAATTAATACCTCACAAAAAGAATAAATCATTTTTATACATAATACATAATATATAATATAATATACCTATACATAATCGACTCTCTATTATAAAAATAGAAAAAATAAATTGTCACTCTAGTGTTGAGTAAGAAAATACAATTATTCTTTGTTAATATTATATGCATAGTGATGTGATGGTGGTTTTTACTTCATTCATTTTTATACACCTTATTGCCCTTTGCCTATAGACGCTATACTACACTGGTATAGTCAAGCGTGAAATATAGAAACTCAACGATGGATCCACTTAATCGATTTCCATCAATTACACATTAGGCAATACTATAATAATAATAAAAAACAAAAAGGTGATAGTTTCAACTTATGTGAACCGTCTACGACCCCTTCCAGCGCATGACGTAAAACATTGACATTTGTTATTGCATGTTAGAAAATTTGAAATGGACACATAAACGGATGTCATACGGTTTGTTTATTAATATGCTAATTTATTGTAATATTTGGTTATTGGAAAAGCTTATCTAACACGCGCCGCCACATTGAAAAAAAATACACTAAAGTTCTCAAAACGTAAAAAACGTTTTTCGTAAAAACAATCTAATGGAAATTAAAATATTGAATACATAACCTATTGGTATTCGCACTCATTGTCACGTACGAAAATAACAACAATTGATTTTTCAAAGTGGGGCTACACATAAAAGACATGATTTTTTTTTTAAATATTTTGGGTTGATGTTCGAACCAGAAAGGGAATAACGGAATATACGTGCACAATAATAATATGAAACCACGCGGTTTATTATGTTCATAGCCGTCATAAATTGGTAAATAATTTTCATGATGCATTCAAACATCTATTGGAATAATACAACACACGTTTCAGAAAAATCGATATTTCATGACGCTTGATGTTTGGTTTTTATTTGCCTATAAAATTGTATTATGTATGTTTTTTATAATAAGCTTATATAATGTTGCTATATATGTATATGCATTTCTATTTATTAACGTTTCCTTTTGACCTTTTATAAGTTTTAACGACGCCGCGCATCAAACAACGTAAATACATCCTATATATGCCACTGTATGAAAACAAAAATAAAATTACACATATCAAATATAAAATTATTTGTATGCATTATATCAGCTGATAATAGAACATATAGATGCGACTACACATTGTCACGAGAAATTCCGAAAAGTCAATACCATCGTGAATGTCTTCCTGGTATACTTAATATCAAAAAATCTATTTAGAAAAATTGAATCGAATAAATTTTATTTAAATACAATTTGTAGCTTAGTTATAATTTTTGATAATTTATACTAAGATTAAATTAGATACCATGTCTCGCCTTTTTTGACATTAGGTTTTAATCTTTGAATTAAAAAAAGTATGAGGTACATTATAACTCGTACACCTTCATGTTGGAATTTTGAGAAAAAAATGGTTTCCAATAATTGTACTATAATTAGTAGCAATAATTTTTCAGAAATTGTACCCTACTGGAACACCTCCAAAAGGCTTTTTTTAATTTTGGGCGCTTGCGTAGCTTTAACAGGTGGATGTTTTGCTTGTATTGCCTTTACCGGCTGACTATCTGAGTTTTTTTTTATAGATAAATAATAATTCTTAGTAATCATTATGATAAATCACAATTAATTAAACTATCGTAGCACACCCTGTAGACAGCCACACCATACGGTGTTTCATGTTTTTCGAATAATAATTAATACATTATGCGCTTTTAATCATACTTCGAAAAATCCATATAAATTATTCTTCTATTTCTCATACCCAATGGCAATGCATTCCAGTGCGTTTAAACGTTGTAATATATATATATATATATATATATATATATATATATATATATATATATATATATATATATATATTGCTGCCGTTGAGTTTTTATGGTGTATATAATATTATAAATTAATGTTTAATGCGCCGGGAGCGAATAATTATCGAATGAGTATTGGGCATGCACGATAATTAAGCATAATCGATGAAAACCCACATAATCTAATAACAAACCGTCTGATGAATAATTTTTATAACAATTAACATGAAAACGTTCGGTGGCCGTTGCATATTCGACAACAACTATTTCATAAAACAAGAAAATATGAAATACAAGTATATAGTGATACAGTCACATATCGGATCTTATACCGGTTTGTTTCCATTGCACGCCTTTGATGGGAAAATGACTTTATTTATGTTGTTGATTATAATCAATACCAACGAATGAATATTGTGTAAATAATAGTGACGTTCCAATGGAACAATATTTATTTCTAATAAAACTAAAATTCATTACCATAATATTTTTATACTAAAGAAATCTACTAAGCTTTATTAAAAAATGTTTTATTTGCACTCGATATAAGAGGGTTGATCCAAAATATGCATCGCGCCATGTAAATTTCACGGTAATAATTAATTTTGATTGTAATAGTATAAAAATACTATTTCATAAAATTATTGTGAAGACCTCAATCGGTTAATTATCTTACATTATGTGTTCGTATTTTATTTAACAATGACCATGTTAACGCATAATCGATGGGTAATATATTAATTTATTTGTTACGGACTTACTAGTCGTAAATAACTAGCTAATTGTTATCATGACCGTTATACTATGTTTTTACACGTGGACATGTTGACAGACAACGGTAGTGTGATTACGGCCAATAGTAAAAGAGTTTTTTTACTCACCTTGTTCTTGCATAAAACTGAACAGCGAATCCAGAAAACTGCGCCTATCCGATTCATTGCCAGCCGAGTAAAGCTAAAACATAACACAATTACATTACATTAGGAAAGATTGAAGAAGATGTCAATTTTACATTAAGTGGAAGAACGATAGTTTTGTGTATTGTTAGCGTTGACAACACAAAATGACTACCTATCTAGATCAAAAAAGACAAATCTCACTTTTTGTAACTTTTGGGATTTTAAAAACTCAAAACAAAAAAAACTTGTTAGGATTTGTGAAATGTCGTTAATCGTCTATACTCTATTATAATAATATAAGAAATAGTTATAAAATGGTACAATATTTTATACTTTTTCGTGGTCTTTGTGTGGGGGGGGGGGAGTGTGAAAAATACACAAACAATACTGATGGGATAAATAGAAGCTGTCGCAATAAACGCGGTCAGAGCTGTTCAAGAATATAATACAGATGATTTAGTGTCCGTTGTGTTAGTGTGCCGCCAACAAGCCAAGATATAGCTCTGGTAATTAGTTATAAACAGTTAGGCACAACGGGAGGCTCTCAATAGCTATAGAATTAGCGATGTTAAGCGAAACATTATATTACTAAATCCTCAATGTATATTAGTACCTATCTGCTTGCTGGGACAAAAAAAATACTGCTGTGTTTGGTTGTCTAATTTGTTTACTATGAGCATAAACTACATTATAAACGCCAAGAATGAGTACAGAGATACTATATTCAACGACGGTAGAAGGCAAGTTGTTATTATTATGTATACAAACACTAGCGGCAGCATAATATAATATAATAGTTTAATACAGCCAACAACTAAAATATGTACTTGTAATATCGCAGACAGCAGAAATATAAAATTAATATTTCAAAAATATCGTGAAAATGTTTTTAAAAACTTTTTTCTCCATCGACAGTGAAAACAAATTTAGTAACATTTTGAAATTACTTTATTTTGTGCTATTTGAAGTTTTATAATATTTAAAAAAAACAATTATATGAAAACTCTATTATTGATTTTCGTTTGCAAGATTTGTTCGTGTCTTTATTTTTTTTTTAGTTGGCTACTTAATAATTATTGTTACATTTTTAATTACTTCTACTTTAATGAAATATAGCTTATATATACGGGTTGAACCATTCAACGTTACACACTAATTTTCTCGGAAAAAAATTACAATTTTCGAGTTTTACTTTTTGAAAACAATTTCGTTCGTGTTGTTTTAACATATTATAAAATTACTAAACGTAAATTGAAATGTATATGTTTAATTAACTTTTTAAAATAAGAATAATTTGCTGAACATTTTTGACTGGTCGATCAATTTATAACCAAATTTGAATAATTACTTTTAAATTTAGGTAAGGCAATTTTTTAAGTGTGCTCGATATTGAATTTTAACATTCAAACTGTTATCGACTTAAAACGAAACATTTAGTTTAACTATTCAATTAACTGTTGAAGCATATTATGTGTGTTCATAACGTTTGTTCGTCGCTTGTATAATAATATCTAGGTACAATATAAATTAATATATTTGTTCTATTTGTTGATTTCAATTTGTCTATAATTTATGTAGGTGTTATAAGATTAGTTACAGATTTCGAAATTTTAACGATTGTTTTGATATAATATATATATGGACATGTTCGTCAAATCCCAAATACGTTACCAACAACTACGCTTGAGAAACTCGACTGGGTCTGTTATACATGTTCGATTACAATTGTTTTGTGGACTAAATTCTACTGGTTAACTACCTATTCCAAGGCAAATAGGTATAACCGAACAGAAATCAATTATCAAAAAACGCGACTGGCTAGAGTTCTCATTATCAAAACAGTGTCAAAGAAATTTCATAAAAGACACGCACCCTTGTCCGGCAGACATACATTTGTCTCGTGTGAACTTATAGACAAAAACCCATAAATCTCTTTGCGCACACAGGGTGGAGTGTCAGGCCGTCGACATTCAATTATATGACTCAATTAAAAACTAACGAATAAAACCTATTGGTGGTAGGGTTCCACCCGTCTACTACTCAAACCTCGCCAATGCTGGATGTACACTATTTCCCTAAACAGAGCGAGGGACGTGCTACTAAAATGTACCTATCATAATAATATAAGCTCACGCCGTTGCCGCCACAAACAGGGTGTTAACATGCAATTTACGCACCACAAATAATACTATTTTTGTTTAAAAAAAAAAAAAATTACTATCACAACAACCAGTAGCATGATTTTATGTTATACTTTATAGTTATTACAATTATATTTAGTTTGGCATACACTGTGCACTGTCAAATAATATTTTGGTCACGATTCTACATACATTTAATTATCCACATATTATATAGTGCCTACAATAATGTAGCAACTATTAAAAATCAATTTTTCTTTTCAAAATTAACACGTGCATCGAAATTGCCAAAATAGTTAAAAATATAATTATATAGTTGACTTGAAGTTGGGCTGGGGTTTTATTTTTAAGTCGAGTATCAATTTTGGTTCCGGCATAACTTATTTATATACTTAAATTATTCGACCAGCATCACGCACAGTTGGGATAAAATCTGTTACTAAAACACAATATGTTATATACATATTATTATAAACAGAAAAATATTGATGGAATCCTGTCAATCCGGTATTAATCGTGTACTTTTATAAATAATTATGTTCATTAATCGTCTTATACAAGTGTATCAAGTTTATAATAATACCACTAGTCTCGAGATAATAATAATAATATTATAACTTCAATCGCACGCAATACAAAGAAAAAAATAATAACAACAAACATAATATGCCGTGTTCTTTCAATTCCATTGCACATCACGGTATAGAAACCATCTGGAGGCCAGTTCATATAGTAATAATTGAAGCGAAAATCAATTTATGATGTTTCAAAAAAATTAAAAAAATTAAAAAAATTGTTGAATCTATAAAAAAAATATACATTTATTTCAAAATAATATATTAGCGTCAGGCCCGTATTAACATAAATTCATGCCAAGGGCAACTTTATGATTTTATATCAATCACCCCCCCCCCCCCAAATAAAAAATTAGCTAAGTGATTTTTACCAAAAAAAAAAAAAAATGTATATTTATATATTAAAATTCTTGCAAAAATATTATTACATAATTTACACGAATAGCACAGTATATAAGGAGCCTTTGTTGTTATTTAATGTCGCTAAACTTATGGAACGCCGTAAAAATCGTGGTAATTATTTACAAGTATACTGTATAATACAATATAATATAAAACAAATAAGTGTAATATATTTTATTTACTTTATGTTCAAATTGAACGCGTTTAATGACCGTTTCATATGTGAACACGCTTCGTAATCAATGTTAGGGCCCGAAGTATTAAAGTTTATTATTCTCACTATAAAATTTGTCTCCTTTTATAACGACATTAATAACAATTGAGTTTTACCGCTCGGCCGCCACTGTTTCCGTTTGTCGTATAATACCTAGAGTATCTACATAATACAACGCTATATAGTATATCAATATATTATAATGAGTCAATAAGTTGTAAATAATTACAGTATATAACGTTGATCATAGCGTACAAATCATACTGTAAATCACCTGGTTTCCACCAGATAAGACTGTAAATCTAGTCCATATTTTTTTGAAAATCTGTTAAAACTTAGTCGTTAAAACGTCAATAAAATTTTGCCAAAATTTATGAATTTTGAACCAAAAAATTTTTATAATTACCATTTAGACATGTACGGATGACAAACAAAATTTGTTTGAAAAACATTTTTTTTTTAAGAAAATAATGTGCACAAATTTTTGGGCTTTTAACGAAATTACTATGTTTTGTAGACTTCCAATTATATAAGTCGATGGTGTGCGTGCGCAGGACGAATCACAGATGCATATTTTATAATTATTGTACAAACATGACGTTTAAAATTGATAACTCTAAATAAGTTATCACCCCAAGTATTCTAATTGAACTTGACGTGGCCTCAGACAACAAAAATTCGGAACCTCTTAAATATTATGTACCTAATGCTGAACATTACTATATTTTTCAATAATAAGTCTTTATAAGGTCTATGTCATAGATAAATATTCATTATCCCCATTATATATATATATATATATATATATGAAACGGAAAAAAACCAACTTATCTTTTGTGTATACTTATTACTTATTAGAAAAGACAATAATATGTTTTGTTTACCTATTTGCTGTAAACGTTTTATGATTTTTTTTTTTACTGAAGCCTTTTATATTGAATTCAGAATTTGGTAGACCTCAAGATCCTACAAACTAATGTAGGTATATAATATTACAGCTAACATTAAGGTTTTTGTCCATTCCATTGTAAATAATAATCACCTTATGTACTCGGCTTTCGTTCCGACAGAATAATACTTATTACCGTTTCCACGTAAATGCATAGCGTGCGTCCGCCACCGTGTGCCACTAAAATCATTATTATTATATTTATATCAAGTAGCTATATCATTATAACGTCGGGCTCGGTACGCGATCATCACGCCAACTATCTCGTGCACGTGCTTTTTTCCCCTGAACCCTTAGACGGGGTTAGGTTTTTCATAAGCTGACATTTGAGTATTGTCGACCTTTCTAGCCGGGAATATATTAATACCTAGCCGGTTAATAGTATAATTCAAAATTATATCAGACAAATCAGTCCTGTTAAATACACAGACAAAATTAACAAATCCAGTAGAGTCGAATATCATATAAAGTGTGTACGTGCGATTTGATTAAACAGAAGAGAGTGAAAGAATAATCATAACGGGCTTGCGGGATATTCGGATATAACCGTTTTGGTTGATAAATCCATTTGGACGGATTGCACAACGTAAGTGTTAACAATTTCACACTACTCTGTTTGCACTCCCACGCGCGTTTACATCATAAGTCATGGTAATATTATTGTTAATATTACGGTTATTTAATCATCTTTATTCTATAAATCATAAAAACAGCGACGTCCGCATTTGCCCGCTTTCCAAAAATTAATCCTTCCAGCTGTGCACATAAGAAGGA